AACCAGCCTTTCTTAAGTGCCAGGGGCTGTGCTAGCAGGGGGGCAGCGGGAACGTTCTGGGCTAGGAGGCAGACAGTAAGCAATGTGCATGGAAATAGTAGTTATACCACAGCCCCATAGAAATAAGACGTGAGCTGCATGTAATTTCAAACCTTCTGGTAGCCTCATCAGAAAAAGCAAAAAGAGACAGGTAACCTAATAGCATTTTATTTAACTCCATAGGCCTGAAGTATTACCATTTTAACATGCAGTCAGTGTAAAAGATCATTAACGAGATATTTTATATTATTTTTTTCATACGAGTCTTTGAAGGCCATTGGTATTTTACTCTCAGGCACATCGTGGTTCAGGCCTCCTGGCATATTAGGAAGTGGCAATGCTCTGGGAAAAAGGAGGTCAGAGCACTGGGAGGGGTGCAGTTAATTAGGGTGCTCGAGGTAGCCGCGGAAGGGAGGTGGAGTCGGAGCAAAGACTGGGAGGTGAGAGTTGGTGGGGTTGATATCTGTGGGGAACAGCATTCCAGGCAGAGGGATGGCGGCTCGGCCAGGTGGCTGGTGCAGCTGGGAGGAAGGGGGAGAGCCGAGGGAATGGTGGAGGGCTGGGTGGTGGTAGAGGGTGGAGGGCTGGGAGGAAGGGGGAGAGCCGAGGGAATGGTGGAGGGCTGGGAGGTGGTAGAGGGTGGAGGGCTGGGAGGAAGGGGGAGAGCCGAGGGAATGGTGGAGGCTGGGCGGTAGCAGAGGGTGGAGGGCCTGTGGGCCAGGTCCGTGCCGGGAGCCTCCGAGGGCGCCGGCCTGAGCTGAGCCTTTCCCTCCAGGCCTCGAGGTGCAGGAACCGGAGAAACACCCTCTCACCCCTTCCCTCAGCCAGTGACACCGCATGGACTGGAAGCTTGGGAATGTGGGCCTTTCGCCGCTGGAGTCCCAGTGGGGGTCCCAGACAGCCCACGAATGTGGGGAGCCGGGGCGTCTGGGGCCAGTCCTTGGACAAGGAGGCCTGGGCCCCTGGGGCCTCCATGGCCGGCACTGGGGCCCTGAGATGGAGCTGGGATAGGCCTGTTTGCAGGAGGAATAGCGGGCCCCCACTAGCAGCTCCTTGCCAGGGCTCTGGCTCTGCCAGGCGGCCCTCGCTGAGGAGGAGGTTTCTGGGGAACCCCCCAGATGAAGGAGGCAGGCAGGAGTGGACAAGAGAGCCCCCTACCTGGTCTAGGGGTGACGCCAAGAACTGCTCCCTGGCGCCCATGGCCTGGACCTATCTCTGAGCGCAGCTGGGACATGAAATAAAGCTAGAATGCAATCACCCGAGTCTGTGCTGTGTCCACTGGCTGCATCCTGAGGTGCCGGGGCCCCTGCAGCCCCAAGTCCTCGCTGGTGGGGGCTGTGGCCACTGGCTTCCTTACCTGGCACCCAAGCAAAGGGCTTTCCTCAGAGGAGGGGCCAGTTGGGCTTGCATGGGTACCCCAAGGGGGTGGGGAGGGGTCGGGGTCTGGGTAGCCTGCAGTGGGTGGGGCCCGGGTCTGGGCTCAGCCTTTGCTTAAAAGGTGGGGAGTGGGCTCTGGGGTGGGGGTGGTAAACGCCCGAGGACCTGCCCTCTCCTCCCTGGCATCCTCTTCTCTCCTTTCACGTTTTCCTGTCTCCCCCATTGCCCCCCACTTGGGGTTGAGCCCCTCCCCAGGGAGCTCCCGGCCTGGAGTGTCACCTAGTGCTGGGCTGTGGTGGAGGCTCACAGGCATCTGGGATGACATCCAGGAAGGGGGCAATTAGGCTGGTGGCAGGACGTGAGTCAAGCACCTGGGGCTGCCAGAGGGTAGGGCGGGGCTGCCCAGACTGAGGTGAGGCAGCCTTAAAGGGGGGTGGGGGAGGCAGAGCTGGGAGGGGCAGCCTCCTCCTCAGGGTGACCTGCAGCCCGACTCATGGGTTTCTGCAGGCCCCTTGGGCATAACCTACTTGCTCCCTCTTAGCTCCAGTTTCAGAGGCTGATGGAGGGAGTGGACCCCTGGCCTCTGGCTGGAAGCTGGAGGCTGGAAGCCCCTCCCATAAGCGTCAAGGAGGGAGTTTGATGGCTGCCCGCCCTGTAGGTGGCTCCTGTCAGTTATCTGGAAGCGAAGAGGCTCTGGAGGACAGCTGGCCAGGGCTCTGGGCCTGGTGGTGAGAGGAGGCCACCCCTGTGTGGCTCTAACACCCCTTTAAAAAATAAAAATGAAAAAGAAATTACTGATTTGAGCCCTGACCGGTTTGGCTCAGTGGATAGAGCGTTGGCCTGCAGACTCAAGGGTCCCATGTTCTATTCCGGTCAAGGGCATGTACCTTGGTTGTGGGCACATCCCCAGTGGGGAGTGTGCAGGAGGCAGCTGGTCAATGTTTCTCTCTCATCGATGTTTCTAACTCTCTATCCCTCTCTCTTCCTCTCTGTGAAAAATCAATAAAATATATTTTTAAAAAATTTATTGATTTGAGAGAGAAGAAACATCGACTGTGGTGCCACTTGTATGTGCATTCATTGGTTGTATGTGCCCTGACCGGGGATCGAACCCACAACCTTGGTGTATCAGGATGATGCTCTAACCAACTGAGCTACCCGGCCAGGGCTGACACCCCTCTTTGAGGCCTACTCTAAGCTCTGCTGGGCACGGCCAGGCTTGGGGACAGGACCACGTGGGCATGTGGCACTGGGCGGGCTGTGAAGGGTGCTGAAGCCGAGGTCCCTTTACAGACCAGCTGTAGATTCCTTCACCTCTCCCTGCCATGGTGGGCCCTGGCTCCTGCCCTCTCAGCACCCCTATAGGTGCTCCCGGGGAAGGGGGAGCCCAGAGACCCCGCTATGGTTCTCAGGGCACCTGAGCTCCTAGACACCACCCTCTCCCCCCGCCCCAAAGGCAAGTTCCCAGGGGAGAGGGTCTCAGGGGGCTGTGCGGCTCCCGGGACTCAAACGCCCTCTCAGGCGCCCAGCACCGAGTGGTGGCCACACTGAGTGAGGGGTGCTGGGTGCTGTGCTGACAGCCGCGGGGACAGGGCAGCCTGTACCTCAGGCCGCTGGCTCCTCTGTCAGGGGACCTGCAGACCCCTCCCTGCTCTGCAGCCTTCAAGGAGTGATCAAGCAGCCAGCTGGGAACCGGATGGAGTCCCTCATTTTCCCTGGTGGCCGGGAATGGGCGTGCTGGGCTGCCCGGGGCTGGCGCCCAGGGGCGGGCTCTGAGGTTCCTGGAGGCCCCCCTCGGGG